GCTGGAGCTACTCGGGTGGCTTGGAAAGTTGTTATAAGTGGTTTGATATGGAGAGTATGGGGGATCATCCGTTATTGTGTTAGGTGCTTGGGTAAGGACAAATTTCAAGAAGCTAGGCGGTGGCGAGGGTGGTGCTTTACCAGTCATCCATGCCTGATACATGTCTGCTACATGCTGTCTCAACATTTTTACCTCTTCTACCAACCCGTAGTCCTGTTCAACCAATCGCTTTCGGGCATTGGTACCAACCCACTCAGTTCTGTTGTTCTCTGCCATTGTCTTTTGCCTTTGTGTTGCAGAGAAGCATTACTTTCAGGACCACAACCAACCACCTTTCTAAAGATTGAAAAGGAACAAAATGGAAGCAACTTGTTAGCGTTAGGGTTTTTAGCAGATAAGAAAACACACATTGAGGATGCAATGCAACTAGGCAGTTAACCCTTTCTATCATGCATTTGCTTCAGTTATATGCGTCATTCCGGCTTCTTGTAATTGTGCTCCCTTTTTCTATTTTCTTTTTTTTCTTTTTCTCTCTTTTTTTTTCCTTTTTAATGGTGGTCGAATCTTATGTGGATTGCCTACGTATCATGTCCCCGCATGAATCAGACCGGCATAGTTCTGCCACATAAAATGTAAACAACAATAAAACATTTTTGGAATCACTTAAAGACGAACAACATACTCGAAATTCAAATGGCCCACATTCTCTAATACAAACCTGAGCAAAATAAAATGACAGATTTCTTCCCCTATATGCCGACTTTGACCAAACGGCTGTTTTTGCAAACGTGGCCCCTTCCCAATTTCACATGAATTTTGAGGCCGGGAAGATTATTTTTTGACACTTCATAAACTTGTCCGTTCTTTTACGAAAATAGCCTTTTGACAACTGAAAGATACTCTAAGGCTATCTCGGCAAGAACGGTTTAAGACACCGCCGAAGCTGGCTCGGCTTATTTTGACCAAAAGTCTAAACGGTATTCTTGACCACTGACCCTTTTTTTTTATTATTTTTCAAATTAAAATAAAAGACCGGGTTTTGCCAACGCGGCCTTTCAGCACCTCAGGGATGAAGATTTTAAGGCTGCGTTAGCTAACCGACCAAAATCCTAAAAACATGATCAAAGGTGGCCGTTTATGCAAAGTCAGCCTTCCGGCGCCCTTTTTGGGAACATTCGGCTATTTCTGACAAAAACAACATCACCCAACTATGAAAAATTAAAATTTTTGACACATTTTTTTTGGGCTATTTTTGCAAAAGGGGAGGCTGGACCCGATGAGGGCTGCCTACGTATCTCACATCCTATGAGAATCAAACCGGCATAGTTCGGGCAGATAAAACAAACTTCTTTTGAAAACAAGACTCTTTTTTATTGGCAAATAAACATATTTTTCATAAACAAAAACTTTTTTTTTCTTCTCGTTTCTCAAAAATTCGACAGAGTTTCGACGCTATTCGGACATTGATGATTTTTTCCAAACAGGCGATTAACTCTCTTTAACCCTTACACTGCTATTTCTCTTTCCTCAAAATCCGGTCAGCATGCAAGTCCGAAACAAATAAATGCACAAGTAGAGGCAAGTTAGATGCATCAGGATGGTCTTTTGTCATTTTGGTACTCCTGTCCTAGACAAACCAAACCCCTGTGTTGAGCCTCCAAAGTCACATGCACATGATGCAAACAAACGCTCCTACTAGGGATCCGGCATAAAGCTGAGTTATTCTAGGTTCATAACCTGGGTATTTGTTCTAGACTGTGTACCCGAGCGGACAACTCGAGTCGAGGAGGGGGCTACGTACCGGGGACCTGCGGGATCATCCGGCTTTGTAACTTGTCCGGCCTCTTTCTTATTTCAAGGTATGACACTAACAGAATAGGGAGTCTTGACCAGCAAGCTCCTCCCCGGAGGTAAGAAGAGAAGGGTTTCGGCACAGTTTATATACAGTTCAGATAATATCAAAGCGATAAAAGCATCATTTAGCACATTAGGCTCAAACATGTAAAAATCAGATAAAGCCAAATATAACAATTTATCTAAGCTCGAATTCTGAACCCTGAACCAGAGGTTCTAGGTTTCGTCCCCAGCAGAGTCGCTAGAGCTGTCACACCTCCTTTTTCGCCCGCGCCCCGCAAGAAGGGGCGCAGAAGGGAGTTTTTTCCAATTAAAGAACAATCGAAACGGGATTTATTTATTTATTTCAGAATCACCACTCGGGATATTATGGTGTCCCAAGTCACCAGTTTTAAATCCCGAATCGAGGAAAATAATGACTCTGTTTAACAGTCTACGCACCAGAAATCCGGATAAGGAATTCTGTTAACCCGGGAGAAGGTGTTAGGCATTCCCGAGTTTCGTGGTTCTAGCACGGTCGCTCAACTGTCATATTCGGCTTGATTATCTGATTTTATACAATTATGAACCTATGTGCAAATTTGAACTGTCTACCGCTTTGTTATTACTTATTCAAGGAATTGCAACGTCGTGAGAATGCATCTCGAATTGCGCCACATAAATGTACCCGCAATTTTTGATACGTTCCAACTTCGTTGAGATTTGGATTTGGGTCACATAAATGTGCACCCGAGTTTAGGAAAATAACATTATTAAATACGCGCCTAAAGACTAACGCGTTGTTATTTTGAGAAAAGTCGTAAAGTTCGCTATGCGTCCTGTCTCGAAATCTAAGCATTCGAAATAACTATCCGTTGATGGCCCCGCAATTTGTGTATTCTTGTTTGTCGAGGCTCGTCTCATTCATTATTTTTTAAAGGAATTTGCAACATCATGGACATGCATCTCGAACCACGTCACAATCAATGTACCCGTGATTAGCGACACATTTTGACTCCGTTGAGATTTGGATTTGGGTCACATAAATGTGCACCCGAGTTTAGGAAAATAACATTATTAAAGCACGCGCCTAAAGAGACTAACGCGCGGTTGTTTTGGGGAAAAGGCCGCGAAGTTCGCTAAGCGGCCGATCCCGAGTTCTAAGTAATTAATACGTATATTTGTGAGGGCCCTGCAGTCTGTGCGTTTTGCTAGGCGAGGCTCATCTCATTTTATTTTAAAAGGGACAGTCCTAAAGTGACTATATTTTTTTATTAAGTTTGTCTCTAAAAGAAAATCTCCAAATTAATTACATGCTTAAAAAGGGGGATGTGACTTATTAGTTATTAGTCTAAGACAAATGCAAATGGAAAATTGTAATCGAGTTTGTACAAAGGGAGATTATTTCATTCCTTATTCTATTAGTTAATAACACTAAAGTTGAGATTATGAATAGAACACGAGATTGACACCCGGTAATATCAAAACAAACCAACCACTCTTTGATTAATTTAAACCAACATTATTAGATGACTTGAACTATTGGAATTGACTATGTGTAATGCAAAGCCATTTTTTTTACTCTTTTTACGACTTGTCGAAGAAATGCGTCAATGCTTAAAAAACCGACATTAGGCTAACATCAATCACTAACATTCGAGAATATTAGTTTACTAACATTATTCACATGTTTGTAGAAATAGATTCAACAGTCCAGTTTACGAATTCCGCAGGCATTTGCATGATATTAATGAATGAGATATCCTAATATACAAATCAGTAGAAAAGCTAGATCCAACTTAAAGCTTCAAATCTTCATGTATATTCATGCTTATGTTTTCGGCTTACAAATGACCAAGGTTACAGCTGTGTACCTGGAAATGGCAATACAAGAAGATGAAAGAGCAGTCAGCAACAGTAATAACACGGCAAGACAACAACAACCCAACAGCAGCAATTCAAACCAGATTCGAGGCCAGGGAAATTTGAAGAAAACCAAACCAGCTCGATAGAGCAAACTCCAAAAGCTTATAAAACACTAAACCGCAACAAACAACATCACCTCAAACAGACCCAACCACGCGTGTATTAAACCCCAAAGCTAAACTCGTAGACTACTTTGTTTTTGTTTTCTCTTTTTAAACTCTCCAGAACTCTCTTAAGATTTTCAGAAAAATGTTCAACCCCTCTCTAGATTTCCAGAATCCTCCTTTTTTTTTTCTAAGTGACTCTATTTATAACCCAAAACAGGTATGGGCAACAAATTTTAATCAATCCCTTTTTCATCTTTTTATACCATTATGTTTTGTTCTCCACACTTGCATGCCTTATTTACCACTATATTAAACAATGCATTATTGCCCATTACCACATGTCTTGTCCCACACCATGTGTTAAACAATGTATTATTTTAATATATTAGCGCTTAGTGGACCGAGCACTCAAATTAATCATTTTTTTAAAACTTAAAAATCCCGAAAATGTCCCTGAAAATACTGAAATTACCATTCTACCCCATCAGCTATACCCAATTCATCTAATCAATTTCCAACTAATAATCAAATTCTGCATAATAAACTTGCCAAACAAACTCCTAATCGACAACGTTGATGAATTAACAACATCGTCAGATTCATATCCGAACAAACTTAACGGAACAAACGAGTAGACTTCAATCACTAACTTGAGCATCAATCGACCTCAAAACAGTAGGCAAGTCATCCAAAACGCACACACACATAATTTTAAGGAATATGCAGTAGGAATATCATGCGAAAATGTTCAAAAATGAAACCACATATTAAAACGAAACCTAAGAAAAAACAGCAAAAATCCGTGAACGAACTATGGCTGACCTTTATGCTAACGATCCGACGTCAAACAACGTTGAACTTCCGATGAAACACAACTTCGTTCGCAACACTGTTTCGACGCTTGACTAACAGACCCGGACTCGAACGGAACCTCGACGTACTACCTCGACGTATGACTGAGCATGACCTCGAACCAACCTCAGCTTAAAACTGTCTTGTGTGTGTGTGCAAGTGGTTTCTGGTGGACTGGTTGGTGTTGCGACTGACTAGGGAAGGAGTTGGGGTGAGCAGCTGTGGCTGGGAGATGGAGGGGTCGTTTAGGACGATGGGTGAGGCAGCAGAGTGGAAGCACGCTCACATTCTATCGATGGGTCGCTTGACACCAAGAGTGAAAGCAAGAAATGCGTGCTCACGGGTCTGACCTTCCTTGGAAATACCAGCTTCAAAACCACCAGTGGTGGAGTCAATAATAAGAACATCACGATCGGCCTGGGAAGTACCAGTGATCATGTTCTTGATAAAGTCCCTATGTCCGGGAGCATCAATCACGGTGCAGTAGTATTTGGTGGTCTCAAACTTCCACAAGGCAATATCAATGGTGATACCACGCTCACGTTCAGCCTTAAGCTTGTCAAGCACCCAGGCATACTTGAATGACCTCTTGTTCATCTCAGCAGCTTCTTTCTCGCACCTCTCAATAACACGCTTGTCAATACCACCAAGCTTGAAGATCAAGTGACCAGTGGTGGTCGACTTTCCAGAATCAACGAGGCCAATGACCACAATGACTAAAAGACTTTGAGAAAGGGAAATTAAGCTTCGATAGGTCCCTCGCGGCGCAGTAGAAGAAAATCGCAGGCAAAGTGATGAGGAGGAGGGCATCCATAGGCATTGGAGCTGGAGATGTTGTTGCTCGACGTAAAAGAAGGAGGGGGCAGCTGCTCGACTAAAGAGTGGTCGACGGGAAGTTGATGACACTAACGAAGAAGACAAAGAAGAAGAAGAAGCGGCCATGGCGTTCGTCGCTTGGTTGTTCCGACGAAGATGAAGGAAGCATCCATGGGAGTTTGAGGTGGAAGGGTCATTTGGAGAAGGAGAGGAGAGGGGGCGGGCAGCTCTTTTTTTAGGGTTTGGGGGTTGGGAAATGAAAAAATGAAAATGAAAGAAGGGGAGTGCTTGTTTGGGTTATGGGGTGGACCGGGTCGGGTTGACCCAGTAGGGGTTTGGTTAAGGGGTTATTTGGTTTGGGCCTGGGGTTTAAAATTGAAGAAAAGGTCCAATCCGATTTTCTTCTTCTTTTCTTGCTTCTTTTTTCTTCTTTTATTTTTTCTTAAACTAAAAACTAAACTCTAAAAATTCTAAATTATCCTATAGAACTAAATTGATTTATAAAAGTGCTAATTAACTCTTAATAACAATTAACACACAATTAAGTAGCAATTACGATAAAATCACACAATTGGGACATTAAATGCTAAAAATGCAACGTACATTATTTTTATGATTTTTTGTTCTTGTAAAACAAACTTAATTGCTCTTAATTGTAGAATTAAATCCTAAATGCAAATGCGACATATTTTTGTATTTTTTATTAATTTAACAAATAAACATGCATGGGCAAATACAAATAATTATCCAAAAATGCCACGAAAATTTTCAAAATTCGACACAAAGGAAAATTATTTTATTTTGAATTTTTGGGAGTAATTCTCACATAAGGCAAAAATCACGTGCTTATAAGTGTGTAGGTAAAAAGGAGGTGTGACAGCTCTGGTGACTCTACTGGGGACCGAACCCAGAATCTCTGGTTCAGGGTTCAAGAATTCAAGCTTTTTAATGATTTTTACTTGGTTTCATTTATTGTTAATATTACTGTATTCTGTGAATCTTTTGTTCCAAATGTTATTTGTTTACTGCTTTATTATTGTTCGAATTGTATATAACTGTCTTCTTACGCCACCCATCTGAGTCTTCTGAAAATGGCGCACACGTTCGAGTGGCCCACTTTTTTTTGTAGAAGTTATGCCAAATAGAACGAGGCTGTGCAAGCGACAAGGCTGGGTAGACTTCAGTGCTCCCGGTACGTCGCCCCCTCTTCGGCCCCAGTTGTCTGCTCGGGTACCCCAAGTCTAGACCAAAACCTCAGGAGTTAAACCTAGAAAAACACAGTTTCATGTCGGATCCATAATAGGAATGTTTGTTTGCATCATGTGCTTTTGACTTAGGGGACTCAACACAGGGGTTGGGTCCGTCTAGGACAGGTGTGCCCGAAATAACAGACCATCCTGATGCATTCTATGTGCTATGTGAACATTTATTTGTTTTGGCTTGCATGCTGACCGGTTAGGGAAAATAAAGCGAAAAAAGGGGAAAACTAAGAGTGATATAGGAAAGGAAATGAAATCTGGTTCTAAACATCCCGGTATTTGAAAAGCGTCCTGAAACTCTGCCCAAAATTTTTCAAAAAAAAAGAGTTATTTTAAAAAGAGTCAACACTGTGTTCTTTCAATTGTGTCAAAACTAACCGAACTACGCAGGCCTGGTTCTCACCGGATGTGGGATACGTAGGCAACCTACATAAGGTTCGGCATTATTTTTGAAAAAAAAAAGAGAAAAGAAAAACAAGAAAAGATGGTCGGTGGTCGAGTGAATGCACTCTTGACTTTTGGTCAAAATAAGCCGATCTAGCTTCGTGTCTTAAACCGTTCTTGCCAAGATAGCCTCAGAGTATTGTTTCAGTTGTCGAAAGGCTATTTCCGTAAAAGAATGGACAAGTTTGTGAGGGGTCATAAAATAATTCCCACCGGCCTCAAAATTCGCATGAAATTGGAAAGGGGCCGCATTTGCAAATACAACCATTTGGCTAAAGTTGGCATATAAGGGAAGAGATTATGGTTCTTTTCTTCTTTTATTTTCTCTTTTTTTCTTTTCTTCTTCAAAATACTGTTTACAAAAGGGTCAACTCGAGTCAACCCTAACCTTAATCTTCCACAGGAACAAATGAATACCATCCAGGAACCGCCAGAAGTGGTCAGGGAATAGGCTTGACTACACTTGCATATGTGGTGGAATGATCTCGACGAAGATGGTTAGAAATGGGTGAAAAAGCACTTGGGTGCTCTTATAGACATCTTTGAAATCAAACCACGGCAAGATCTGGTCAAAGCTTTGGTAACTTTCTGGGATCCTGTCCACAATGTCTTCCGTTTCTCGGATTTTGAGATCACTCCTACTTTGGAGGAGATAGCCGGGTACATTGAATTCGGACGGGGCTTGAGGAAGCAACAACTTATATTTCCAAGGGCTCCATCGGTGCACAAGTTCTTTGACATCTTGAATATTAGTAAACAGACAAATAAGGAACGTGTGAGCAACGAGTGTTGTGCTTTCCATTTCTTATACTTCAGTTTCGAGCATTCTGCTGGTTTTGAAACGCATGAAAAGGGTCTAAGCAATAAAAAAAACTACAGCCTTTGGCAAGTTCATCGTCGGTTCGCATTTATTGTGGCATTCTTGGGGATCATGGTTTTTCCAAATGAGAAAGGGACGGTGGATATTTGTATGACTAGAATTTCACAAATCCTTACTACCAAGGGAAATCATACACTTGCCCCGTTGGTGCTGGCAGATATCTATCGAGCATTGACTTTGTGCAAAGCAGGGGCTCAATTTTTTGAAGGTTGCAGTATCATTCTGCAAATATGGTTGATCGAACATCTTCGCCATCATCCCAGATTCATGAGTTACGGTTCGAGCCCAAACAACTTCATCATTAGTTATGAGGAGAGGATAAAAGATTACAACACACCAGAAGGATTTGAAGCATGGGTTTCTCATTTGAAAGTTCTTGACGCAGGTCAGGTCGAGTGGACTATTGGATGGTTCCCGAGGACAGAAGCTATCTATATGACTGCTACCAAAGGATACCTGAGGATAATGGGCGTAAGGAGTATTCAGCCATTTGCACCGCAGAGGGTCTTGAGGTAATTGGGAAGGTATCAGATTGTGCCTGAAGATGAAGATCTAAGCACCCAAGTCATAGAGTTGCATCCAGTAGCTGCATTGCCTGAGGCTATAGTTCAGCAGGATTGGAATAACTGTCGGTATCTAAAAAATGGCACCCAGGTACCAGATATCGCCAAGGGGGGAAATAGATCCAAATTATGTTGCTTGGTTTGAGAAAATATCTTATGTAAACAACGAGCCAGAGCCCGAGAGGCCCGCCAAAAGGCCTCATGTTCAAGCCTTTGATGATAAAATTCAAGAGAGGTTAGCTTGGGGGGAGAAGGAAAAGGAATATAAGGCCATCATCCATGGTCTACGAGAAGAATTGAGAAATGTCACCTTCAACAATGATTTGTAGGCACAAGAGGCCGAAGGTGGAAGGAGAAGATTGGTGCGAGAAAATGAGGCCCTCAGAGCTCAGGTTCGATAGTTGAAAATTGAAGCCGAGAACCCAGGCCGAAGTAGGAAAGACGAGAGGCTCATTTACAACCTCACTCAAAAGGTACGTGACTATGAAGATGACCTTCAGAAAGTTGAGTCTGAACTAGCAAAAGCACGGGCAAGGTTGGCTGAAAGCGTCGAAGGGCGTGCAGCTTTCGTTCAACAGATGAAATGAAGATATGAAAGAGGGGTCATAGGTTGGTAAAAGGCAATTGGCAACCTCGAGAATGAAATGGCTAAACAAGCCAAGAATTTTAAGGCTGAAAGAGAGCATTACGCCTTAATGGCACGGCTAGAAAGGGACTTGCAACAACTCCAAGAGCATAACCAGACAGCCGAACAAACTTTGGAAGCCAGAACCGAAAAAATTGGGCGTTTGTTGTAAGAGAAGGGCGTCATAAGAGAGCGAGTCAGGAGGGTCGCCAACTATATCGCAATGAAGTGCAGTAGCTATAAGGATATGACGAGATCTATGTTCTTCGCTACTGTGATGACTTTTGTTCGCCGGGTAATGGAAGATCTCCACCACCTTCAGGGGGATTTAGCGAGTCGGCCCGCAACAAAGCCGAATGATGCCCCGCAGGTCCCGGGGACAATTGAGGCATTGATGTATTCGTGATTCCTTGAGTCTGTATTTTCTTTCCGTTAAAGTCTTCCAGTTGTTTTGGAGTCTGTATTTCTATTATCGGAGTATGTGGGTGGTTGTTGTTTTAGTCTGTATCTCGAGTTTGTTAGTTTCTTTCGAGTCTGTTAGTTTCAGTCTTTGTAATAGCGTTTTTATATATGAAAACTGAAAATCCCAAAATGTTTTACTTCACACTTATCCCCAAGAACTACACTTGGTCTGATTCATGCGGGGTCATGATACGTAGGCAATCTCCATAGGATTCGACCGTAACCAAATAAAAGAGAGAAAGAAAGAGAGGAAAAACAAGAGAGAGTAAAAACAAAGAGAGAATGAAAGGAAGGAAAAGAAAAGAAAGAAAATGGGATGTTTGCAATCGAAAGAAAGAAAAGGGATGATGCATGCAACCAATCAAATACATAATAGAGTCAGTTAACTTTTTAGGTGCATTCATGCCCAATGTGCGGTTACCAATATGTTAAAGCCTAATTGCTAACAAGGTTGTTGTTGATGTATTGAGCTCAGGCAGGTGGTTAGTTGACTGGCATTCTGGCAACTCACTCCTACAACATCCGATCGAAAGACAGGCTGAATATTGTCAACCAGGAACCAGAAACAAGTATTGTCGACCCATCAAAAGAGGTGGAAGAAATGGACGTTAATGCAATGGGGGAAGAAATGTATAAGCTGAAACAGTAGATGGCTGAAATGTACCAAGCCTGGGAGAAGGGGCACTCACCACCAGTTTATCCCGCCAACCCTGCTTATATCCCACCATCAGCCCAACCTCCGGAGCCTCCCACTGTGAACTCATCCCAGTCTTTCCCCTCTACCAAAAATGCCATGGCGCCACTTCCCACACTGCTCAAGCTCCACCACCCAAACAAGTCTCATACCCTCCTCCGCCAATTACACCTGTTTTTGTGGCACCTCCACCTACTAC